AAACTGGATTATTTCTGCAGTGTGTTTTGGACCAAAGTGGTGTCAAACAGTGCAGATGCAGCCTCAGTTTGCAGCAACTGAAATTAGCTGAGGGCAAAGGGGAAAAGTGGGAGTAGGAGCGAGAAACTGGGACTTTTTAAAAGCAGCTGAGAAAGTGGGATAGCAGCAAATTAATTGGGATTGTCTCTGTCAAATCAGGACAATTGAGGGGTGTGAAAAAATATGCAAAACTGTGCTTTTGTAGATACAGTTTTCCACACGTGTGGTTTAATTGTGATGCAGACATTGCACAATAAGAGGAGCATGAAGTATTCACTGCTGTACTAGACAAGAGCATTTTAAACAGGGGAATCATAGGGTTAATCATTACTTTGTGCCAAGGTAATGGAAAAATATCTTGGCTCTGCTTCAGTTCCTCTCTCTACAGCGTCCCTAGCAACCTTCTCATATTGCCTCCAAAGCCGCCTTGTCTGCTGGTCCCTTCAGTCTTTGCTTTCCGGGGGCTCTTTGCGTATTTTGTATTTTTCCATTATGAGAAGCTGTTTGTACTCTGTTTATGCAGGTGCCCTTTCTCCAAAGGCTGGGCTCTTTGGGAGAAGCAAATCTTGGTTTAATTGATTTAGAAAAATATGAGGCCTGTTAAAGCCAGATGCCCTGGTTTTTAAAGGCAGGGCTGCGTATTAATATGTTGTCCTGATCTGATCTGTTTGTTGCAGAAAACAAACCAGAAATGAATATTAACACACGGATGAGTCTGACAGACCAAGAGGTCAGTAACAATTGAGATATTAAGAGCACTAGTGCCCAACCCAGTTTTCATTTCTAATGCTGTTGACTTAGCACTAAACCAGAAATGCTCAGGAAAGGCAGAGAACTATTTTTAGTTGAAAGATGCTATATAAATTGAATGAATCAAATGAAAGTCAAAAGAAACATGCAGGTACATTGCCACTTTTTCCCCCTTTTCTTCTTTTACTAAAGCAGAATATGTGATTTGGATAGAAAGTCGAAAAGAGAGACTATAAAATCATATATATAACTTACACCATAACATTTCACAGAAGAAATATGGGAGACATGGGGTCAACCAACATGAGAGTGTTATCAAGATGGAAAAAGTTTTTAATGAGGAAGAACACACAACAGCTAGAAGAGGATACAGGAGCTTGTTTTTGCCTGAGCCTACTGGGAAGGACAAGATTCTGCCCCTTCCTCTCTTCATTGCAGATGCTGCCCCAGTATGCTTTTGCAAAATCCTACCCAGAAGAGAAAGACTCTGTCCCTGTCTGTCCTCCCACCTCATTGAGTTAATTGAATTAAAGTTATTTTGCATTCTGAACTGCGTTTATAGCAATGGAAGAAAGCTGAGGACAAAGGGAGAAAGTGTGATGAGAAACCAGGACATTTTAAAAGCAGCTGTAAATGAGGGAGAAGAGAGGATTAACTGGGACAGTGCTTGCCAAATTGGGGCAGCTGGAGAGTGCAAAACATTTGAGCCAATAATAAGTTTTCCATTTGAACTGCAGGCAATGGAAAGGTGCACAACATTATTGTGATCAAAATAATCATAATAATGGTATTGATAATCACCAGACATTTTGGAGAGGGAGATATGATGACATTGGGTATTATGGTAATAACAATAGACCAATGTTTGGTTAGGCCAGAGGTTTCCAAACTTTGATCCTCCAGGTGTTTTGGACTTCAGTTCCCAGAAGTCCCATCTGACTTAGCTAATAAAAAGGAAATCTGGGTTGATTGCAGCCCCTTCCTCATATGTGAAAGAAGAGAAATAAAGTTTAGCACAGTGATACTTCAGAATAGTTATTGGTAAAATGTGGTAGATTTTTTCCACAAAGGAGCCCAATCTGCAACACAAGAAATTAAATTACTAGGGAACGCCAGGTCCAACATGGGATGTGGGTGGGCTGTAGCAAACAAAGGGGTATAAAAGTAAATTAGCAGGCCTGGAAAGCCAAACTCCAGAACATGATAAGACATATATGGATAAGATTATGCAAAGGTCTGGGTTTAAAAGCAGGTGGGGGGCGCGGATAGTGTTTTGCAGCGCTTCATCAAAGAGGACTCATGTTCAGCACCTGTTCTCAGCACACCCAAGTAGTCACTATTATGTTCTCATTGCAAGCATTATATTTCATGACCTGCTTCCAATTTCGATCCCTGCAGCATGATTCACCCCATCCATGACCACACACACACATACACAGAATAAGTCTGTTCAAACTGGCTCTGGCTTGCCAAAAACCAAAGGCCTTCTCTTTGCTTTCTTTCCCAAGTATCCCAAGTGTGCTAGAAAATCACTCCGGGGAATTGAGCTTACACTCCGTTCCTTGTTCCCCAACACAAGCACCCAGAGAATGTGGCGCTCCTTTCTCCGCTTGAAAGAGTAACAGGTTTATAAAGCAAAATATAAAGTTGACACTATTAAGGTCCCAAGGGAGAAGCCTTCCACACTCGTCCCATTCTGTGATGACAAGCTCTTTGCTCTTTGGGCAAGACATGGGGTCGGCAACCT